TTAGTAATAACTAATCTACAATTGTATCATTCAATATAAAATAAATAACTAAATAAGAAATTTTATTTGTATATTTACTTGCAAAAATTGGTTCTAAAATAGTTTTATTTAAATGACAATTTATTAAGTATATAGACATTTATTATCTACATAATTTGCATAGGAGGTGGGAATTATTTATAATTTCATAGTATGGTCCATACGAGGAATTCTCATGTCCGTATTATTATGGTTCTGTGGTATTACGAACGTCGAAAGAGCATTTACAATAATATTAGAACCAGAGGTAATGCACCATAGATCTAAACTAGTTATTATTGCAGCTGCGCGGTAGATGGTTTATAAATACTAAAAATACAGAAATAATTGTCGATAAGAAAATAGGATTATTACAATAGGCATTACGCTATACCTACACAGAAATTGATTGTTCTTCATCATCATTCGACCTCCTTAAATTCAATATTTATATATAAATTATGTCCATTGTTCATGTAATCATGCGTTTTAAATAATTGTTATTACCGGACCCCAATTCTATGAATTCGTACTTTGATGTGTCTACATAATATTATTGTTAACAAAATAAATATTAAGCGTGAAACGTCCGTTACGTTATCTTGGGGTATGCAGCGCACTCTCATTCACAACGTGTTCAGTGTTTATCGTCAGGCTGTCTTCATATCTTGCATAATTTTGTCTATGATTTTCAATTTTATTTTATTATTGAAATATTTTATTTTTTCGAAATTGATCGTTACATAATATAATCATTACCCAAGACCAAAATAGTTCGCCTACAAACGGGTGAAAACGTTAAGGCCTTATATAAATATCTAGATAAAATTATTTTATCTATCTATATCTAGATAATTTTAAATCCAGATATTTTATCTATGTCTAGATAATTTTTTTATCTAAGCACAACACTGCTAACTAGTCAGGATAACCGGAAAATATTAAATATGGCTACTGATTAATGGGGAAGTATACTTTTCTGTTAGTTAAAAACCATGAAGATCATGAAACTATAAATTCAAAATTATTTACGATTATAAATCCACCTTTGACTTCGCTAAACGTTGTGTCCTGTACGTTGACGAATAAAATATTGGGAAGTAGACGTGACCTCGGCCAACGGATGATGACAATGTTTTTTAATGCCGGTCGAAATCCACACAAGATTCAGCTATTATGGTTTTGCTTCCCCTAAACGTTTCTGTTTCCGGCTACAACTCGTTTGCGCACAAAAACACAACTCGATTGCGCACACCCATTCTAGTAACCAGTGACAAAAATCCCTAAAATATAAAACTCACGCACAGCACAGTTATACTATGTACAGTGTTCATTATTTAGAGTTAGGTCGGTATTTAGGGATTTTCCTACATGAAAGTAGTGAAAATGTTCCCGTTCTCATAAAAACGTCCGCTATTCAGAGGTGCCTGCTATTTAGAGGTGTCCGTTAAGAGGTTTCACTGTATTTGTATTCTACATATATTGTAAGTATTCTTCTTCGTGTATCGTTTACTTTCTATTTTAATTCATTACATTGATTTTATTGACCGATAATTTATTTAAGTACATATGCGCGTGCCGTTGTGCGCAATTGAGTCGTAAATTTTTAGGTAAAAAATGTTGAATGTGCGCAAAAGAGTTACTACCATGTGCCCATAACTTACTCATATTTTCATGTCACACCGCAGTGCAGTGATTAAAAATTAACAATAATGTATCGACAATATTTCCGAACCGGAGATCTTGTTGTGAGTTCCATGGGCGCCGACGACTTGTACAACGGCGGTATACCCAGTTGAACATGTGTCCAAAATTAATAACGTGTTATGACATATATGGTGGTAACAAAAATCGTGCCGCGTTTAATTCTGTTTCCAAAATAGAAATGTGTCCGGGGCTCGTAGAGTTATTGCGGACCACGTGGCGTTATTCAAAACGTATTGCCAGTGTCATCTGCATATGGAAAAACGATTTCTCTCTCCGCTCTTTTTTTATTTGTTTTCAGCTACGCGTTTAATTTAAATCCAAAAACGGCGCCGACACACATTGCCGGAAACCGACGATGACACATAATCCTTTTCTCGGGCTTCGCGTCGGTAACTGATTTTTTTTTTTGTTCCTTTTAATTACCACATCGCAACATAATGATAGCACGTGTTCGAGTACCAGATAGATAGAGAGAGAACGACAGTCAGAAGACCAAAAATACAATCGTAATGTGTCTGGCCTTCAAGTGCTTCAGTCAAATACTTTTTTTCATAAAATAATATGTTCTAAATCGGTTTTCGATCGATTGTGTATTGTTCACACAATATTAATTTTGAGTGAGAACGATGTATTATTTTTAAAACGATTCCATCATTATGCCTAATCGTTTCGAAAAAATAACTGGAGCAAGGGTGCACGACTTAAAAAATAAATCGTTTGATGCGCGCACACATATCAACCTGGTACCGATCGATCAACACTTAATGCAGGACCCAGTTTGTTCTAATGTTCTTACGACACCGTTGCTCATAGTGTCTTATACAGTTACGAGCATAGAGCTAAAAAAATTCTCCTATTACAGATTTGAAATCGAAAAAATAACAACGCGTAGCATTATTTATTCATCATCGTCACATCGGTATATTAACAAAAAATGTATATACATGATCCATATTCAAACCTGGTTGATTTAGTTTTTTTTTTCCGTTAAACTTTAAGAATGTGTGATTTATCGGGGAATAATTTTACATGTAACACATTCTGCGTGTGTTCTTACAGCTTTTGATAACAATACGAACTTGAACGGTTCATATTAAATTGAAATCGTTAAACGATTTATCTGTTCGTTTGAAATGTTTAAACAAAACATAGTTTTATCGATAATTTCGAAATGGAAACCGCAATGGCCACTGTGTTTTTTAAACGACTCACGGAAACTCAAAGAGTTTTGATAACGTAAACATCAGACCGCAGCAACCGAACAAGAACCAATATCATTATCGGTCGTTATGTAAGAAGCGGTTATGGCATTATTTAAAATTACCATAAACCTAAGCCATTCGTCTCTTACTGCTTTGTAGTGGTGATGTTATACTTATTACGTGCTACGTGTTCTGTAGGTGTTTCCATATGTGCATTTAAGGTTTCGGATCTGAGCCATTCGTGTTCAGTTGAAATCATATTCATATAAATTTTTTCGTATGAAAAGTTTAAACGTTCATCAGACTCATATGGATATAAAAAGAAAATAAATAAAAAATGATAGCATTATTAATTGTGATAATTTCTTAAACGCGGTTCGAAAAGCACACGCCGTTGAAATAATTAAACTGAAAACGAATTGGCCATGATATTTTTAAACGACTAATGAAAACTCGTAGTTTTACGATAACGCAAACATTGTACTGCAATACATCGCGATACGTGTATTAATCTCGTATAATTGAAATGTGCTAAGAGTACGACACATACCCGCACGTGTTGTCTTCGTTTTACCTAACGTACAACGAAGCAAATCTACGTCCAACATAACCGATTTTGTGTTGTTGACTTTGATAACTTGGCGAACTGATCTGTTAACAAACTTAAAGAGAAAAGAACAATCCGTGTCTTGTTGTAGATATTTTACGGTATTCCAAACGGGCTATGACGGTGTAGTATATCACAGTTAAAAAAAGATTATAACTTGCTTAAAAATAAAAATAAATTCTTCGACGAGATGACACAGGTTATGTGATTAACCCTTTGATATTGACAGAAGATACATGAATTTTCTCAAACACAAAAAAAGTCAATGACACGAAATCAGTTCTATTCACCGCGATCTATGATAATATTCCTAAAACGGTCGTAACGGCGAGAAAATATAATTATTCAAAATTACGATAAACTTAAAACCATTGGACTCATTCGAGCATTGATATTTTCTCAAAACTAATTCAGAATGCATTAACAAATGTATAATATATTAAATTTTGTATTACTTTGTTAAACATTGACAAGTTAAAAATGTCTAACATTTTTTTAATGCAAAATAATTGAATAAAACTGATAGTCAACTAATGGTAAGTAATGAGCCCGTGGTAAGTTTACTTTGAATGTAATTGTTTTTATAATTGATTCATAATTCAATACAAAGTTTACTAATTTTAGTTTATTCTATTTTAATGTATGATTAGTATACCATATAATACGCTAAAGATCATGTGGATTTACAGTACTTTTTAAACGGGAAGATTTTTTGCAAAATAAAATAAATATACAATATTGTAGGATCAATATATCAATATATTCCAAACATTTTTGCGTCCAATCGAAAAATATATGAAATATAATTAAATACATGTATTTTTACAAGGATGGAATTGACTAGGGTCAAGCGTCTCTTAAAAATGGATTTAAAAATATGCAAAAAAAAAAAAGAAATACGGTTAACAATAAGGGAAATAAACATAAGAATGTCACCAATTTTATTACACACTTATAAAAGGTAAAAAATTATGTTGAGTAGAAATAAATTATTGAAGACAAAATAAATAAAAACAAATAAATTCAAATCTTATAATTTGAGTTGAGCACGTATGCGTATAGGATGAAAAATATAAGAAATATTTATCTACGTTTAAAGTGTAGTAATACGGAACATATGAACATTACTAACGGTGTATCGGTTAAAAATACACTAAAATAAGCATACGAGTAAATCACTCGATTACAAATAGTGCTATGTAACAGCCAGCTGGCTATGTATAAAAAATCAATATCGTATAACCCATAGCGAGTGTTTTCAAAGAGTGTAAAACAAGTACGAAAAATATTAATCGAACGTTCGTTGTTAACAAGACAATACATAACGGAAACACTGTGGCAGGAAGAGTATATATAAAACATAAAAACGATCAAGAAACGAGGAATTCACGTCATAATCACGCACGCGTCGTATCGTCGACCACGCTCAAGACCTACAGTTGATAATACCACGTGATAGAATCGCAATGACGAACCATTCGGAGAGCATTTTTACCACCAAGGACGACGGCCAAAAGTGCAGGCTGTACGTGGGCAACCTGCCGAAGGCGAAGACGGAAAAAGAGATATTCGATGAAGTGAGCCGCATAACGCGCGGTCGTCTGGTGCGTGTGATCACGTACAAGAACTTTGACGACCCGTCGATGCACCGGGGCTTTTGCTTCCTGGACTACGAGTCGGTGGCCGCGGCTTCGGACGCCAAGCGAGTATTGTCGAAGCAAAAGGTGTTCGGGTGCAAGACGACCGTGGACTGGGCGTACCCGAAACCGCAGGTAGACGCGGACATGATGGCCACGGTCCGCGTACTGTTCGTCAAGCAATACGGCGGCGTGTTGAACGAACGCGTGCTGGCCAATATGTTTGGCTGGTACGGGGTCGTGGAGCGCGTGATAAACCTGAAGAACTACGCGTTCGTACACTTTGAGCGGCGGGAGGATGCGCAGTCGGCCATGGACGAGCTGCACAATTTCAGGGACGTGGTTTCGGGCGCGCGCCTCGACGTCGCGTGGGCCAAGCCACCGGTGGACAAGCAAACGCGGCAGCGGATGTTGCGTAACCGGGAACGCCGGGTACGGAAATCCGTGGTCGCGGCCATGAGTCAACCGGTTCGCTACGCCCCGCGGCCACCGTGCCGCGCTCCCGGATCCAAAGGACGCGTCGGCCCCGCCCCCGTCCCCACCGCCGCAGCCAACACCAAGTACGACAATCGCGGTTACGATTTCGGACCGCGGCAACTGTACAACCGGTGTACCCTCGCCTCTGCGGCGAGAATTCCCGTGGACGAGGCCACGTCCAACCATCGCAATAGCGACACCGCACGCCGGTGCCGCTTCAACGTCGCGTGCGCAGACCAATGCAGAGCGGTCCGTCACGATGATGGCGATTGGAAGAAGGGACGTACGAGAAGCTGCGCCAAAAATTATTGGCGTCACCGTAGTGCTGTCTAACCTTATACAATCTTTAAAAGAGTCAATCTTCGTTTAATGTTTAAAATACCCACATTTTACAGAAAATAAAAATAAATATAAAAATGAAAAAAAAAAATTGTTTTAAATAATTTAGTCAACGTTACGCGAGTGTTAACGTACAACAAAGCAAATATACGTCCAACATAACCGATTTTGTGTTGTTAACTTTGATAACTGGGCGAACCGATCTGTTATCAAACTTAAAGAGAAAAGGACAACCCGTGTCTTGTTGTAGGTATTTCGCGGTGTTCCAAACGAGCTATGCCGGTGTAGTATATCACAGTTAAAAAAAGCTTATAACTTGCTTACAAATAAAAATAAATTCTTCGACGAGAAGACACAGTTTATGTGATTAACCCTTTGATATCGACCGAAGATACGTGAGTTTGCTCAAACGTAACAAAAGCTAACGACACGAAATCAGTTCTACTTATCGCGATCTACGCTGAACGTTCGCAAAACGGTCGTAACGGCGAGAAAATGTAATTATTTAAAATTACGATGAACCTAAAACCGTTGGACTCGTTCGTTTCGAAGGTATTCGATGGTGGTGGTGGTGGTGGTGTTATGGTCGCGGCTAATTAAACCTTCGTCTCGAGACGTCCTGTAGCGTTCAACTTTGAAACGGGTTGAACGTCGACGGATCGCCGTAATTACGGTAGAGGTTCTCTTAACCTTTAATGTTTACGATTCGCGCAACGTCAGCACTGTAACTGCAGGACACGATGGACCAATTTTCACGGTTTTTTTCGCACCTGGTCGCGTTGCAGGCGAAATCGAACGAACGTGTGACTCCGACCGGCCGACTTTCTAGTCGCATTTGACTTTGATCCGTCAGGAAAATGATGATTTCCAAGTGATTCAGTGTTATCGCACGTATCCACTGATTCACGGCAACCTCGGCTGACCGAGAACGTTAATCTGGGCCGGGTCATTTGTGCGCGTAAGACTCTGGGAACGGTCGTCGTACGCCCGTAAAGTACTGCAAACAAAGTGAAAAGTCTTCGAAACTGGTTCACGAAAAAACGCTGCATTTTTATCATATCGTTTTCGTACTTCTGACCCGTACCTGACTATGTATACTTTTTTTTTCCGCTGAATTTTCATGCAACACGCCCCTTTAGTCGTTAGTAGGCGTCACGCGAAAAAAAAAACTCCTGCGCTACGCTTCGGCGACTCTGCACGTATACAATCCGTTTGCGAGTGACGTCTGGGTGCAATATTCCCATGCCGTTCACGTGTCTGAACTGCGCGTGTACAGCGAAAAACCGGAAGGAATTCGATGGCACTTCGTAGTCCCGTAATTCGTGTATATATGTGCGCATTCAGACGACCCTGCGTTTTTACCGACCGATACCGTCCGAAATTCCGTCGTGGATTAATTCCATTAATATTTCAAATTCCTCGAAGCCACGATATACGGCAGTTCTTATCGAGCACTTCGAACGCCCGGAGTGAATTCGAAATTTCTATGAAGCACCGCAGAACGAGGTGCTTACCGATTTCTCGTGTTTTTAAAGTTCTAGGTGATTTCGCTCTCATGACGTTACTCTGTAATCAAAAAATAAATAATCAAAATCTACATTATTTTACATTAATATTGTTTCGTTTTATTTTTTATCAAAAACAAATCAAATTATAATTATATTTCGGAAGATTTATCGGTGGTAAATCGTATCAACGCAACGACTTTCCCCTACACAGAAAATCGATAATATTAGTAAACCTTCCTTCGAAACGCTCATCTCACGGACATTTCGTAAGACTTCATTACACTCTTTTATACTACATAAATACTTTACCTAAGCAGATAGTTATTGATAACTATTCCAAATTATACAAATCACTTTTCGATACACAGTTGTAATATTTTCACCGACACTTGGGCATAGAAAACGGTTAGTTTTGAAATTGAATTTTAACATACTTGCCAAATATATTTCGAACACTTGGGTAGACACACGTACATACACGTTGTCTCATCGTCTCCAGTAACGCCTAGTCGCCGCTTACAATCTGTCAGTATACTGTACATTGTTTTATTTTAATTTTGATTCATTCATTATTTCATTTTGGTTGTACTCTTGGCGCACGCGCGGGCTGCAAAAGTGCACTGGATCAAATCGAATACAATTATGTACGTGCACGTGTACAAGTGGTATGTAGTGGGCTTGTAAATATAGGATCCAGCGAACCTAAAAAGGTAATTTGTTTTGTGCAGTGTACTCGTGCGGTGATTGTTGTTGAATGGTGGAGGGGGGGGAGTAAAAATGAAAAATATCGTTAAATACAGCAGGCACGTTTCTATGAACATAAAATGATAACCACACCCCTAGGGCAACATTTGGTTGTCGTGCTTTCAACATTATACGGAGTTCCTAAAAGATTTACTCATGTCAATACTGTTTAAAAAAAAAAAGCATTTACCATAAACTTTTCGTTTTTTTTGTTTTCGAAATATTTTAAGATCAACACTTTATAAAGTTTATTTCTTCGGAATTTTTAAAGTTTCATTTTTTGTTTTTATTTAATTAATTTACGGAAAAGTATTATACTAAACATAGAGCTTTTAAATTATAATAAAAATTAATACGACAATATAAAAATACTACAATGATTGATATACTATTTCTGTACGGTGGAAGACATTATTTCTGCACTTCTAATTTTTCCCCTCAATTTCATGATGAAGGACTTCTCCAATTGAGGTATATTCTGGAGTGGAATTTTTTTAATTGATTTTGAATCCATGTGCTCAGATATGATATTCCGGTGTCCTAATGGATCTGCTTGTTACGTACGAACCAGAGTGCCATGCTGAGAAATTTTCCTTCCGAAGAGTCTACAGTTTCTTTTTTCTGATACGGCAGTCAATACCAGACATGCATATGTTATCAGTGGTCTTATTATTTTTTTTTATTCAGAAGAAGGTATTTTATTTGTAGTATTGAGTTATATTTTTTATTAAGGAATGCAAAATGTTCGTTCTGATGTAGACTCGGTTTAGTTCATTATTAATATTTACTATCCCGGTTAGTTTTTCGTCGTTAAAAACTCCAAGGTGTTTAACTCACTAAACCATACTATTCCATATAATGTGTTGCTGTTAATTGTTACTCGGATCGGATTTGTACGTCTTCTAAGAGTAAATATGTTTTGCTTCGTTGAGTTGAATTTGATTTGGTTTGGTTTCGTAATGCATTTTGATGCTAAGTATCAGAATGGATTACGAAACTTTTAATAAGTCTTGGATCAGCGAGTTCCGCAGATCTATAACTGAGCTCCCGATATTTTTATATTTTTCGTTATTATAACGATGTCGTCCGCGCACATTGCTAATTGACATTTTTGTGGTTTTGGGACATCACGACAGAAAATATTGAACTGTCTGGGTCCAAGAACTAATCCTTGCCGGACGCCATCTTTTGTTGGATGTGTGTGAGATGCATCAGTGGTTATTCGTACTCGAAAGGATCGGATTATGAAAAACAAGCATACGATATTAAAGATATATGTTGGGTGTCTAATTATGGTGCACACTTGTACATAATATATCATGCTTTAAAGTACGTCCACTCAACGGCGGTGGCACACACCACAGTGGGAGAAAGGTAATTTTAGCACACCAAAGTCCGAATTTAAATGGTTTATAATATTAAGTGTTATGATACATTTATACAGTATAGTTGTTCGATATTTTATTTTCATATCATATTCTATCTCTAACTGTTCCCACTATCGTTATTATAATGAACTCGTCAACCGAGTTAAATAATAAAACGATTTTTCGTTATCTGTGTTCATTTTAACAACCAAGTGCGATCGTGTAACATATGTGTCTATACGTACATTAAATTATCGATATTGAGCAAAATAATTTAAAATCAAGTATGGCAGATGACAATGTAATAGGTAAGCTTAATAATTATATAATTTTAAAACATTTGTAGCTGTATAATTTAACAGTATCGAAAACACTAATTTATTAATATTTATGAATTCAAGAACAGATATAACTTTTTTGTAACTCATAGTAACTTTACAGTTTGATATTTTAATTATAGTATGATACGTATATTTTTATTTGTATACATATGGTAGTCCGAAAATGTTCGATATATCCTAATTTTACTTTTCTTCTTAGCTAGTCCAAGTCATGAAGAATCAAAGACCAATTATACGTATATGGAATTGTTTTGTCAATTGAGGGAAAAAAATATTTTAATTACTCAAGCGAGTTCAAACGATAGTAGAAATTTTTAATGAATATATTAAAAAAAAAAAATATGAACGACATTCATGGTCAGAGAGTTACGAAGATAATATAAAATCATTAATACGAAATTTTAGTGTTATATTCATACGAAAATGGAGAACTAACAATAGTACATTTAATGTGTTTACAAAAAAATGTTTTATGGTTGTAAAAATAGTTTGAAATGCCAAATCAATATAATAAAGAAATTAAAGAAAAAGTAGGAGACCAAAAAAATCGTTTACAGAAAGTTCAACTCGAAGTAAGCAGCGTCAATCAGCGGTAATATGTAAAATATGCTCAACGCCAGAAATAACATTTGTATCGAAATCAAAATTGTATAAGAGTGGAAAAAGAACTTTAGCTAGGTAATCTATTAGAAGAAGGTGAATATCCATGCTACTCCAAAAAGAGCATCGAAAAAGAAGAAAGCTTTAAAAACTAAAAAAGTTATTCCTTTTTCACCACAGGAATTTTTAGCTCTTATTTTAGACAATAAACTAACTAAAAAATAATAAATAAATATTAGATGCAATGCAATTAAACGAAATACTAATATATATCCTGCTTATGAACATATTAAAAAGCAAAAAAAAAAAGAATGTTACCCAGAAAACTGTGTTTATACTGAACAAAGTTGTCATGTACCACTTCAAGATATTCATAACTGCAGTACAAAATGAATTGTATCAATTATAGAAATATTACGTAAAAATCAATGTAA